TTGGGCTGATTTGATTTAATGCTAGTTGGTTCTACAGATGACAATCCAAACAGTTGTCTCTATGTGTAATAAATTTTTATTGTCATTTCTGTAATAGGGCAAACATTAACTGATACCAAATCAAGGCAATTTTCAATTGGAATCATATTGCTATCCATATTTCCAAGCGAAAACCGTTGTCACTACTGCTTGACAAAAGGTTGCTCGGGGGTCGAACCTGGGACCTCATATTTAGGTCCAATCGTTCTAGCTTTCTAGTTACCTGAAATTGAGCCCTAAAATTTAGTGCAAGAAAAATGTCTTGCTACTGTATTAGTTGTTTTTTCCTTTCATAGAAATGTGTTTTACATCATAAATTCTCCAATCACACAAATATGTTTTATAACTTACATCAGTTCAAAAAACATATTTTGCAATATTTCACCAGCACTCATGCTGGACGTATTTATTTTTCCCAGTTGTGAAAGTATAAAGTTTTCTCCCAAAATGAAATCATTTTCGCGGTACGTGTTTGTATTGCTTTGATTAAATGTTAACAGTTATATCATATGCTTTGGGAAGTTCTAGCATATCTTTAAAACTAATATACACGGAATTGTTGTTGGTATTTATGCAAACACATACATAATGAAGACTCATTTATAAACATCAATTCACGTGCAGTGATAACATCAAACAAAATTCGGAGATTTAAATCGTGCAAAGTCAGTAGCGGAAGGAATAGATTTTTACGAAGATAGATCACACCTTCTATTGAAGTAAATGCCTAATATTTGAATTTTAACTTTAAAATTTTAGGGCAATTTGAGTATATAAATAGAAGTTATTTATTTTAATGACAATTAGTAATGCAGAAATTAATTAAAAAAAAATTTACCTCATAAATATAAATAACGTCTATTTCAAAAACATCAAGTCATTTGTTTTCTCATATTTATATAAATTATTTCAATCGTTTTTTTATTATTTTTATTTTACTTCATCCATATTACTTATTATCATCATTATTATATTACGCGACGTTCCAAGTCATTCTGAATCTTTTAATACCAAAAATTGAAAAAAATATGTGCGTGTATATGTTTATGTATGAAAGCCAAAATTTGATTCCTTGTCGATGTGTTCTCAAAAACATACCAATTTTAAAAATTTAAAAAACAATTGGATGAAACTTGATAAGCACCCTCGTTGATTAGTTTTGCGAGACGATCAGCCGAGTTGTTTCTTTGAAATTAAAAAAAAAAATGCAGAAAATTCCATGTTTTTGCTCAAATTATAAAACCGTTCGAATGGCCGTTGGAAATCGTGTTCATTATTTTATCGGGCGCGAAGTTTCTTCGTAATTAACAGCTTTTTGGAAGATTTTGATAAAACTTTGTATGATTGTAAAGTTTATGATCTTAGCAAACATCTCAAAATATTATAGACCTGCAAAAATAGCATTTTATTGAAGTTTGGAATGACGAGTTGTGTAAAAATTTGTAATTTCTATGGTGACAAGTTTAAAAAGTACTTAATCCGAATTTTCATAGACTCCAGATACAAGTCTATTATTAATACAAATCGAAAAGTTTTAGCAACTTGCCTTATGGCAGAATGTCACTTAATAATTTCGGGACCGTGTGATTGCAAGGCCGAATCTCTACTACCGACTTACCAAATTAATATAATTTGAGATTAGAAATTAAAAAGAAACAGTGTTATTTAATGCAAGATAAAAGGAAGCGTACTCCTACGAAAAGTCATTCCCCAGGTAACATTTTAAGAATGGGCTAATATGATAATGAGGGATTTAAATAAATGTTGAATCGATGGTCGGAGTAATTTATAATTTATGTTAACTAAAGATCTACGCTTAAATGGAGTAAAATGAATGTAAAATAAAGGACACGTGATACAGAGCTAACACGCCATGAAAAATATTAATTCAACATCATTATCATATTGCCCTAGAAGTACCGTTTCGAAGCCCAAAGACACACTAGGACATCAGATCATGAATGAAAGAGTGACCTTTAACCAGGAAGTGTAAAACAAAATTTAAAACTACTGGAGTCGGGTGTACGTGGTGCAGTAATCCAGCTTTTAGCCTTGCAACCACGCGGTCCAGAGTTCAACACCCGCCTAACGTGCTATCTGGTATCAATTTTGCTTGAAATTATTGAATAAAATTATGTTATCAATTAAAAATAACACTTCCACGCAAAAAACATAAAAATCAATATGGAAAAATTAATATAATGTCAAACCTTAAAAAATATAGAATACAAATAAAAATAATATAAGTGGCTGAATAGAAATGCATTTAGTAAATGATACAGGTAAGCCAATATTTTTCTTTTTTTAAAAAACAAACGACTACGTATTGTATTGTTGCTTTTCACCGCTACTTTTAGACCAAAAGGTTTAGTCCCTTAGTTAAAATAAAATTATAAATTAAAAAATAATTTACCTGCACAAGAACGCCTCAAATATGTACCGGTCTTGCTGCTCCACCAGGACACGAACCTGCATACTGTAAGAGAAGAAATCACAAGATACGCCATCAAGTATAGACATCGTCTGGAGAACCATCCTAACGAGCTCGTCAAAGCGCTCATATCAATAAACTACAACAGAAAACTAAAAATAAACGACTTTTTTTAATTTAGGGTAGAATGCAACTGTGCACTCTTCCAAGGATTCAACAATTCATTTGCAGGTAGCATTTTTTGTAATATTACTCATAAAATTTATTTAATGTCTATTGGACAAGTATAAATTATATCAACAATGAATAAAATGTTTAAAAAAAAATATAAAAACTTTATATGCCTCAACTTGTATGTTGAGGTGGATGTTTGTTTAATTCTGATCAAAATTTGAGTTGCAATTCTAAATAACATGTCTGAAGTAATATAATGGGATGTAGAATTCTCAGTTATCAAAATTTAATAGAAAAAAATTGCAAAAAGTCATAAAATATTCAAATAATAAATAAAATTAATACAGCTGATAAAATTGAATATTGCAAAAAATAATTCAGGAATGTTTTGAACGAATTAAATCGTAGTAGATAATAATTTTGATACTTTTTCATGCAAACGAAATTTTTATCTAGAATGAATAAATCATCTAAAAATATTAATTTTTCCATCTTTTATATTTGTGTCAAGAAACTCGCAATCATAAATGGGGTCGCAAATGACAAAAGTTTAAGAGCTCTGATCTAAGGTAAAAATAGATAGAATAAGAACAAATAATTATAAATGGAAGTTTCGATGTAAGATTTTGCATTTAACAATTTTATTTGATGTGATATTATTTTTTTTTTTTTTTTTTTTTGTTACAATTTATTTTTGTTAATCAAGACTTTAATGTCTTATTTACAAAATTGATATGAGCAAAAAAAAATACAAAAAAAAACAAAAAATGCAATACATTGAATATAAAATGAAAAAAGTTAAAATAAAAATTAAATTAAAACAGTAATACAAAAATAATAACATAATGTGATATTAATGGGATATAACGTATGAAAGTGTATATATCATTGGGTGTGGGTCATAAAATTTAAATATTGTATGTTGTATTGTATTGATTATGTTGTATTAATTATGATTAAGTGTTCAGTATTTATTTCAAGTCAATTTTATATCCAAAATCTTAAACTATTATTTATGGTAGCTATGTGACGGGTCTATATTCGTATAAGTTGGTAGTAATAGATTGTCAAAGTTGGGGTGGATGGCATCGTACCTTAAGGCGAATTGATAAAACTTCGCGTACCGTAATCAAAAATCTTGGTATAGAACCCAAAAAAAATTACACAAAATGTTAACAAATTATGAAAATCTCTATAAAATATCTGATTATTTAATGTGCATAAGTCCAATAAATATTTATGACCGCCAAATGACATTTTTTTAACAAATTTTTATTGATAGACCATAACTGCTGGACCTGCCTTCCAAAAAATTGAATCCGTTCTTCATCTTGTCAATACAAGTGAAATGCTTTTTGAATTATTAAAATCGGACGACCCGTTATTAAAATCGGAGTTACCGTTTTTGGCACTTTTTGTCCCGTATCTTTATCAATACAAATTGAATGTTTTTTGAATTATTCAAATCCGAGTTCCCGAAATCGTCGGCAAAAATTTGTATCCGCATACACACATACACATACATCAATTTTTTCTAAAATATGCCAAAATGTTCTGAAACCTTTGAAACGTGAAGATATATAAAAATTTTCATTTTCGATTTTTTCCCTACGGGAAGTTAAAAACTATGTGTTTGCTGTGCGATCAGGCATTTGCACATAAAACCTAACCTACAAAATGTACAAACGCCAAATAATTTCATCGTAAGTTTCTGATGTCAATTTAGTAACACATACGCAAAGTTCTGTTTTATGTTTAAAACGCCTGATCGCGCTGCAAATACGAGGCTTTTTGATGTTTTGTTAAGTTTGTTTGATATTTTGATATTAAGGTGACCAATTTTCCGCCTTGCGTCTCGGCTTTTCCTAAATGCAATATTTGTCCCGGTTTCAGGTGTTTTGTCTCGGATTGTCCCGGATTTTCAAAAATATTTTAAATGCCAATATTTTTTAAATATATTTCAACTAGAAAATTTGAATCGAAAAAATTATATCCCGTCCCGGATTTCATGCAAAAAATATGGTCACCTTAGTAATATAGCATTACCATAACCTACCTATTTTATCCAAGAATTAGCTTCCTACTCTAGTTATATTAGCATATTGTTCAGTGAAGTTTTAGAAAAAATGGAACTTAAAATATTTTAAGAAAGTGTACAATATTTTATGATATATAAATTTAAAATATACTATAAATTTTATTTTACTGATATTTGTGAAAAGTGTCCTACGACACCACTGTGCTACGCGTACACCTCTGAGCTACGTCACAGATAACTAGCATCACTCCGGTATAAAAGTCAAGACAAGCGAATCTTCACCGTCAGCAGATCAACCAAATCTCTCCCGACATCATCATGGATTACGACAACTTTTATCAAATAGCCGCCTACAATATCGGCGTTCGCACGGCGACCGCTTATCTGTTCGGTGTAGCCCTTCTGTTAATTGCATCCATCCTAAGATCAATAATCATCCAAAGCAACAAGGAAACAGAATCAAATGGAGAACTTAACAAATCAGAATATCAAGATCTGCGAGACATGCCTGGACCGAAACCAATGCTGATCATCGGGAATCTGCATCAGCTGAAACCGCAAGCGGACGAACCGCCTTATGCGGCGTTTACGCGTTTGGCGAAAACTTATGGGCCGGTTTACAAACTGGAAATGGGAGCTATCAAGTGTGCCGTGGTTAATGAATTGGAGAATATGCGTGAAGTGTTAATCGCTAAAGGAAATCACTTTGATGGAAGACCCAATTTTTGGAGATACAAAGAAATATTTAGCGGTGACAAGGAAAATTGTGAGTATAAGTTGTGACAAGTGTTTTAAAATATACGAGTGCGGTAACCCATAATTGTAAGAGACTATTTTTCAAATTTACGACGTACACATGTGAAATTAAAAAAAATACTGTCTGTTTTTTCTCATGTATACTATAAACTTTCAACTGAATTTATAGAAGTTTTTAGTATATGTCTAAATAAATATATATAAAATTTAATAGCTGATGTAAAATTTAATACATAAAATCGCGAAACAACAACAAATAAATTGATGCATTCTTGTTTCTATAATTCTTGCAATATCAAAACATACTCGTACATGACCAGCGTGAACAATTAGAAAGGATATCAGTTACAATGTATTCAATTTTAATAGTTGAATCTTTGTTTATTTTAAAACTGTGATCGCACCGGATGAAATTTAAAAATTTAAATATTAACTATGTTGTCCTTGTACCATTTTGCTTTTTAAAATTAGTATTCTAACATTTTTTCTTATTATAGCTCTCGCCTTCTGCGATTGGTCAGACGTCCAGAAATCTCGTCGAGAGATGTTACGAGCCCACACTTTCCCCAGAACTTACTCAGCACGCGGTGTGGAAATGGACGGACTGATTGGAGAACAAATGACCATAATGTCAAAAATCATACAAGAATCTGACAAAGATTCACCTTTACCTATCAAACCTTTGCTGCTCCAAACCTGCGCCAATATTTTCACCAGATACTTTTGCTCGAGGTCCTTCGACTTTGATCATGAAGGTTTTCAAAACACCGTCGAAGATTTTGATGAAATTTTCTATGAAGTAAATCAGGGATACGCAGCTGATTTTTTGCCCTTCCTGTCGCCTCTGCACGAAAAAAGGATGCGTGATATAAAGGTCAAGTCGCACCGCATCAGAGATTTCGTACTGGAGGAAATTATTGGTAAGATTTTTTTAGATTTTTGGTAAAATATTCTATAAATATTTGTTTTATTTCAAACGTATTTTAAACATTCAAAAATGTAGAATATAAATGCTAAACATTTTTAAATATTACGTATTTTGTCAAAACAATCTAAATACTTTATTTTCGACAAAAAATATTCTGATAGGAAACTGTTTTACAAGATCTATTTTAAAATGTGATCTTGATCTTCATTTTATAATAGTTTTAACCAGGCTTTTTTATTTAAAATTCATGGTTTTTGCTGTCAGAAAAATGTAGCACTTCTATGTCAGCTACTTAGAAAATATAGTATACTTCAATTAAGCTTCAATGCGTTTCAAAACGGTATTTGATATCATTTGATATTGTTCTTTTCCACTTAAGCACTTATATTCTCGTAGTGTTGATATCTATTATATAAAAATAAGTCGGATTTTCCTTCCTGACGATATAACTCCAGAAAGCACGAACCGATTTCGACAATTTTGCATTCTTTGGAAAGGTCTCGGGCTCCACAAGGTTTATAGCCAAGAAAATTGAAGAAAAATTTCAACAAAAAAGCGGGATTTTTTTTTTTTTTACATACGGCATCATCCCTGAATTAGATAATATAATCATCGTAATAAAATAATCTATAAAATATTTATTTCTATCTATTGAAAATAATACTTTTGCTTGAATTCGAAATGTTATAAGTTTTATGAATGAACTGAAAATTAAACAAAAAACATATTTTAGCGAATTGATTATAATCAATATTCATAATTAATAAACGCATAACTATGAATGCAAATCATTATCAAATTAACTTATTGTTAGTGTCGCCCAATAAGAGTGTATATTTATATTTGTATTTTATGCGGATGTAAGATTAGATTTGTTACAGTAAAATCACAATACTAACACAAATCTAAACCGATGAATAAAAAATATGTTATAAAATTGACAATAGCTTGAAAAATATTTATATGACAGATTGTTTGAATAATCGGTATATAATGCGTGGGATTTGAAAATGATTGTTCTGTAAAGATGCTTTTGATGTTAGGAAATCCTTTAAATATCCACAGCGCTAAATTCTTGAATCTCTAATAAAAAAACAGTATAAGCACCCCATCAAAAGGAAAATAGAATAAATAACCTGCAAATCAATTCAAATAACTTTTTCCAAACTGGGTTGCTTAACACGTTAAGCCCGGCACCGAATTTCCTGTCCTTTTCGTTCAGTCGGTAGTGTGGGTCTGCAACGTTTGCAAAATTTTTGTTTAGAATGTTCTAAAAAGTTGTAATTCTCCAATTTTTTTAATTTCATTAAGAATAATCATACTTTTTAACTTTAATACTGTCGATCACTCAGTTCATATAAAGAAAATTTTATTGTGGGTGCTGTGGCAAGTTGGCTTCATCCAAAAGTCATGAAGAACCGACGCTGGCTATGCGAAAAGTTGACTGTCGGTCCCTAAGGACCGACGCCGGACTCAACATGCTAAACAAGGTTTTCTCGTACCTGTAACTTCTAGATTGTGAACTGGGTCTTATCGTTTTAAAACTTAGAATCGTTCTACTATCACTGAATCTAGTAGTATATAACTGTTCTTATTTATCGTCTTTTGAAGCAGATTTTCGTATATTTTTATGTAAATTAATAGTTTATTTATAATGAAAATTATTTACCAGGTGATCGGTTTGAAAACTGGAAACCAGGAGATACCCAAAACGACTACGTAGATTCACTCGTCGAATACGTCCGAGGCGAAGGTACACCCGCGCTTTCCTGGGACATGGCGCTGTTCGCTCTTGAAGACATTCTAGGCGGTCACTCAGCCATCGGTAACTTGATGGTGAAAGTTTTGGGATATGTAGCATGTCGTCAGGACGTGCAAAACCAAATGCAGCAGGAAGTCGATAATGCTATTGGCCAGGAAGATAGTTGTCGAAGACCAGGATTGACCGATAGAGTAAACATGCCTTATACGGAAGCTGTGATATTAGAGGCAATCAGGCTGATAGCATCACCTATCGTGCCACATGTTGCCAACAAGGACAGCGCTATTGCAGGTAAATATTTAATGTAATTATAATATAAATTTACGATTGTTTTGAAAAGCTAATTTCACCGTATTAGTGCTTTTCCGTTCTCAACAATTATGTCATTAATTCCAAGGCATGTACAGTATTTTTGCAAAATCCTTTTACATGCTTATGAATTTTAATGCGCCCACATAGAATTAATTACAAATTATTTGTGATATTCGAACACATATTCCACAAATTTCCAAGTGCCAAAATGCTTGTCTTTACTAGATTTGAGAAACGTCGAGTCATTCCGCAACAAAAAAAAATATTTGAAGAATAGTTTTAAATTATTACAAAAATTGTTTGGAATAGACATAATCCCGATTATGTTTCAATTTTAATACAAACCTGGTACTGGCATATAACTTAATGCTTGTCACTTTAATAATATCTCTATTATTTATAATATTTGTGATATGAACTTTGTAAACTCTATGTCTACTGAAAATTAATTATACCACCAATAGCTCAAAATCTAAACAGTTTTGTAGAGTTTTCAAGCGGTGTTGACGTTGATAGATGAACTTTATCAGATTAATTTACAAAGAAACGGCCTAGTCGATACTTACTAAAACAGCATGATTCCAAAGTGTTGTGTTTCGAACAGTTTTTGAAATTTCAAAGTCAGTTTAGATTTACGCCGATTATTTTTTTCTCTGATTGATAAAAAATGCAAGTTTCATCAAACGGCTCTTAAATTTTTAAAATCGATGTCGCTATTTTTGAAAAAACATTGGCAAAAGTATATTTTGGTTCATATATACACATACTTCTTCCAATTTTGGCATCAAATAATTCAGAGTGACCTGAAACATAGAAAAAACAAAGTTTGCAAATCGGATTTTTGGCTCCTTCGAAAAATTAAATATTGTAAGATAAGTTTTTTTCTATGGTATAGTTGAACATAGTTTGCTTGATATATATACAATTTGTTTTATTGGGTTCTGGATTATTTGAAATACTTGCTTGTGTTTTTAGTGAACAATAGTATAGTAGCAATTATTTGATGAATCTATAAATGTTATAAATTCCGAATACATTATTCGATTATTCTATTATATTCCATCCACCAAGGTCAAAAACTAGACCACATCCCTCATTATAATAAAATCCAATCCATCATTTTTTAATCTATAGCCTACGGATGTAAGAAATCATTAAAATCACTTCATTTAATTCATAGTGGTGTAGTATAGCCATTTATCATCCACTTGCTTTTTTTCTCTCGACAACTTCCTCTATAAAATATCGAGCACCTATAATGACGCAAATATAACATAGACATTGTAGTCGTTTTCTCCATTTCGCTTTTCCAATACAAACATGAAACCTATTGTGATATATAGTTGATATTATGCCAATAAATAATTCAACAGGGTGGTTCAAGATCCTCACGTATTCGCACACGGAAATTTGGAATAAATTTATAGTAAACAAGTACTGCGCACTAAATAACCGATTTTGACATTAATTTATACCTTAACTGGCGCAGGATCTATGATCAATATTGTTGACTTACGAGCTTACTCTCTTTAACTTGACATTCATCGAGTTGTATCAACAAAATCTTGCATAATTTTTTATTGTAAACCTATTGTGCTATTAGTAAATTATACTTTGTAATTTGCACTATAACATTGAATTGGTAAACGTCTGCGGAAAATATGACGACGATGTTTCCATTTGAATTCATTTTGCGGAAGGTCAATGTTACATCACATGATCTCGTGAAATATTTCATGGTTTTCATCTTTCAAGTGAAAGTTGCAATAAGAAATATTTAAGAAATTGTTTATATATTGATTGCACCAAAAGTCGCCATTTTATAAAATTTACTCCTGGCATCGGCAGCTTTCGGTTTGATCATTGAAAGACTATTTTCATTCAGATTACTTTCGAGTAAGTTTTAACTTGCAGAAGGAGAAGTTTGTTTTCGTCAGGAAATCCGATTTGCTAATTATATGTTTTCTAGGCGATTAAAAAAATTATGTACGAGTCTTGCATGTAAGCCAAAATTTGACCTTCATTTAATGACTGCACCGAATTAATAAATCCAAAAGCCATTTGATTCAACTTGATAAGCTCACTTTGATTAGTGTTGCACGACGGATCGGCCGAACCGTTTCTTCAGTTGGGAAACGCGCCAATTATTTTTTGGTTGAGATTGAGCCAGCCATTTTTCATTAATTGTTACAAAATATTTGTTTCGTTTGGCCTACAAAAAGTGGTTTAATTATAAAACATCACTGAAGATTGAGATAATAGACTGCGTTAAAATTTTATAATTCTATATCGACAATTTTAAAAGTTGCAAAAACTTGATTCTATTCATCAAATCGATTGTCTATTTACATATATCGAAATGTTTATGGAATTTGCCTTATGGCAGAATGCCACATTCACCTAGTTTATTTAGTTCTTTCTTTTCAAGTTTTTGTCGTAATTATTTATACTTTATTCAATAAAAAATAAATGAATCTAGTTGGTATTGGCATTTTGCCTTGAGGCAAGTTACATGAACATCCCGATATGTATAAATCGACTTAATCAATAAAAATAAGTTAATTTATGAGTGATTAAAAGTATTCCGAGTGGATTTATTACTCACATTTGAAAACGAACGAACGCGTTAAATCGGAGTATTTTCTAAAAGCAAATTTTCACAAATCAATAATTTTTATAATTGAACCAGTTTCCGTAGAACTTTAATGCTTTAGTACGCTCATTAAGACCAAGTACTCTATCGTATGCCAAGCGAAATCGTCTAATTTTAATTTAAAAAAACGTCAAAAAAAAACTACTCATTTTCTCAAACTTTGATGAATTTTTAAAATTAAACTACTTGTCGTAAGGCCGTAATATTTCAGTAAGTTCTATAAGGCCATGATATATATTGCCAAAAAAAGTTTCATAACAATCGGCTTAATTTTTTTTTTTGAACAGTTAATTACAAGAAAACGGCTCGGTAGATTTTCACCTAAAACTAATCAGTATCATTCCCAACTAATATCTTTCGAACAGTTTTTGATTTTTTAAAATCGATTAGGTAGTATGAGCTTAAATGTGGACGAAAAGTTTAACACTTTTTAACTTCCCGTAGGGCAAGTTATAGTAATCGCAAAAAAATCGAGAATGAAAATTTTTATATATCTTTACGTTTCAGAGGTTTCTGAACATTTTGGCATACCTTAGAAAAAATGGATGTATGTGTGTGTGTGTGTGTGTGTGTGTATGTGTGTGTGTATGTATGTATGTATGTCCTCCTCCTCCGCTTTGCCCCTGCCTCTGGTCCCCACGGAAACCGCCGCTAGGCATTACTTCGTGGGGGGAGGATCTAGAATGTTAATGTTAGTATGTATGTATGTGTGTGTATGTATGTGCGGATACAAATTTTCGTCGACGATTTCGGGAACACGGATCAACCGATTTGAATAATTCAAAAAACATTCGATCTGTATTGATAAGGAGACGTGCTGATTAGTTTTTGGCAAAGGCAGGTCAAGCCGTTCCGAAGATACGGGGCAAAAAGTTCCGAAAACGGTAACTCAGTTTTTAAGAGAACGAAGCGTCCGATTTTAATAATTCAAAAAACATTTTATTTGTATTGACAAGATGAAAAATCGATACAACTTTCATGAAGGTAGGTCCAGCGGTTTCGGAGATATAGAGGAAAAAGTAAAAAAATGAGCCATTTGGCGGTCAAAAATGATCATTAGACATATGCACATCAAATTATCAGACATTTTATAGAGATTTTAACAATAAGTATACATTTTGTTAACATTCCTATCGGTTCCGTACCAATGCTTATGCGTTAGACAGCGACGCGGCGCTTACGCGCTTTATATTTTGTCCCTATGTAGTTAAAGCAGTACGATTGCTTTGAAAAAAAGTTCAGATCTTCCACAATATGTCAAAATAAAGAAAAAAAAAATTTTTCAAAAAAAAATTTTTTTAAAAAAAAATTTTTTTAAAAAAAAATTTTTTTTTTTCAAAAAAAACTAATTTTTTGTCCAATTTATAGTTTCTCAAAAATCTTATTTTTTCAAAGTAATTTTTTTTCAAAAATGTTAATCGTTTTAAAAAAATAATAATAATTTTTGGTACGGGAAGTTCCAGCAATTTGCCTTAAGGCACGATGCCCTAATTGCCTTAAGACAGAATTCCACTTACAGCTAGTTTTTGAATTACAAAGAAACGGCTCGGCAGATCGTCGCACAAAACTGACAAACGACAGTCCTCATTGGTTTTTAAATTTTTAAAATCGGTTCAGGCGCTTTGACAAATGACAAAAAAAACGATACTTATTTTTGCAAACTTTAAAGTTAAACGAGTTGTCATAGGATCGTAATATCTTAGTATGATCTATGAGACTGTGGTAACTACTGTCAAAAAAGTAATAATTGAAATCGTTAAAAAAAAATTTAACACTTTATTACAAGAAAACGGTCAGGCCGATCTCTATCAAAAACTAATCAGCACGATTTCCAACCAATATCTTTCGGACGGTTTTTGAATTTTTAAAATCGATTCAGAATTGCTGGTTAAAACGCGGTGAAAAATTTGTTACTTTTCTGCGATTTACAAAGAAACGGTTCGGCCGATCGTTGCGCAAAACTGACAAACGATAGTCCTCATCGAGAGACATCGAATGGATTTTAATTTTTTGAAATCACACACACATACACAAACACATACTTTTTCCAAATTTTGCTCATTCGATTCAGAATGGCTTGAAACGCCGAGAAAACATAAAATTAATGAATCGGATTTTTTTTTATGAAAACATAAACTTCTCCTTCCGGAAGTTAATACTATCATGCAACAAGTTATTTTGCAGTATAACAACTCTTTTCTTCTTTGTTACAGGTTACAAAGTGGAAAAGGGAACACTGATCTTTCTCAACAATTACCACCTAAACATGTCACCAGAATTATGGGACGAGCCTGAATCATTCAAACCCGAAAGATTTTTGCGTTCTGGACGTCTTGTAAAACCAGAGCACTTTCTACCATTCGGCGGAGGACGTCGTTCCTGCATGGGATATAAATTGGTGCAATGGTGCAGCCACGCAATCTTGGCCAATTTGATGAAAGATTTTACAATCCAACCTGTAGAAGGTGATTTGTATAAAGTGCCAGTAGGTAACTTAGCCATGCCAAAAGATTCCTTTCGGTTTAGATTTTTAGCTCGATCGGGCCAAACGTGAACGCGTATAAAATAATTTTAGCACAAAAACACGAGTAGGCGAGTTACTGAATATTAATCGCCTATTTAACGGGTCAGTTTATAGATATATATTACGTTAAATTTAAGTTGTATAAACTTGATTTAATATGTACAGAGAAACACGATTTGTTGAACCAAATGCTGGTGAAACTACAAAGATTGTTTTAAAGCTGGTATAGATATCAACCCTGAATATAGAAAACATAATTAATAATATTTAATGTTTTGAAATTAGTATATTTAATACAGTTTTGTATTAAAACTTATTTCAAAGTGAAATAAATTAGTCAGGTATAGGTCTCTAAAATCAGAACTAATTTTTAAAAAATCATGAATTTGCTCGTGTTCAAGTTTCGTTTTTAGTACGTGATATTCTAGTGAACGATACATGGAGACAAGAGGATTCTTTTTATATCCACGATGATGAAAATACAGTTTTCATTGTATAATTAATGTAAATAATCATTTAAATGTATATGAGACACGCTCACGCATTTCAAATGAAGAAAATTTCTCCAGAAAGTATTTTTCTATATAGGAATATTATAAAATATTCAGTGACACCAATTTTATTGTAATTGGTAGCTTTACCTGGAATTGAAAAATTTGCTAAAACATAAAAAAATAAAATCATGTAAACAATATTCAAGACGAGTAAATTTTTTCGAATATAAATAAAATACAATATGTAAAATGATAACGTAACTATGCATTTGAAAAATATTTGATTTTTACACCAGTGAAGTACAAAAAATTTCAATTATTTTTATTTGCTAACGTTAAGTGTTATAATAATAATTTTAAGCATACTATTTTAATATAATAGCATAATATTATGGATATCTGTTACATTAATTTATGTTATTTAAAAAGTTTCGATTAGGCCCTAAGAACTTTGTTTCTGAAATTGCAACTCTTTTCTGCGAGTAAAAACATAACACAATTTTTTAAAAATCTAAATCTGGCCGTACTCAAAGATTCATGAATATAAATTAGTTCTGACAGTAAAAGCAAAAAAAATCAATATGTAGAATTATTATTGTGAAATAATCCTAAAATAATTCTCGATCATCGCAATTACCAACCAATATTTTATGCTGTATTTAGATTTTAAAAAATTCTATATATTAATATTTTAACTAATATTGTTGAAGCAAAAATAACATCTTAATCAAAATATGAATCCCAAATAGAATTTCGGAAAAAGCAATTTATTATTTTTAGATGATAGTTCATGTAACTATACTAATATATTATGATCATTAGAAAAATCGTACTGAAGTCTGCGTTACTGTTGATCCATTTACCGCGTAAAATTTTTACAATTTATTATTGATCAAAAGTGAATAAAATAATAAATATAGTTTCAATAATAAAATAGTCAATTTTCTACCAATTTTTGTCATATTTGTAAATCACGAAACTATTCTAATCATATGCCTGGAACCAGCAAGAAATTGTTGTGTTCCATCTTAAAATAATACATTTGTTTTTCCCAAATCTATTAATTTTTATACTCCAACTTCTGCTAGAAAAGTTATGAAAGATAAAAGGAAAATAACATATCTTGAATATTAGAATTAATAATTAGGAATAAGAATTTACTTGTAAGACTGCATTTGACATTTATAGTATTCTTAGTAGCTTGTATTAAATATTTTTATTTGATTCAATATCATTACATCCATATTTTTTCGAATTACTCTAAATCAAATTCTAAATTAGAATATTTGTTGCTGAAAATACAAAAATGTCATTTAGCAGCAGGCTCAAAAAGCAATTTTCGTGATATAATTTGTATTTTATTTTTGTTGAATCACTCACTTAGTATTAAAATGAGTTAAAACTAAAATCATAACTAAAACATTCATTCATTTATTCACTCGTAAATTTAGATATATTGTGATATACTTGTAATATTTATTTATATTTATATTTTGTGTAATATTATTAAATATCGTTATATAAAAATATTTTACCTATTTTTTGTACTTAATGCTTTGCAAATGTATAATGTTAGTTTGAAATACAATATTTTGATGACTGATACTTGAATTTTATATTGCAACATAGTAGTAACACCATTCCTATGAATTGCGACCGCATCTAAAGACAAAGAGTGATCTGTTAATTGATGATCATGGGGAGTATGTTCTGTATCGACTTATACAGAGATGTATTTATGAAAAATATTTTATTCGAAATAAAATATAGAACTAGTGGTGTATGACATCGTGTCTTAAAGCAAATTGCTGAAACTTCCCGTATCATAATAAAATATTTCAGAAATATTAAATGTTTTCAACTAGATTATTATAAATACTGTAGCATTCACATCATTCGTGTGTAAATATAAGAGCTTATAAATTTAACGTCGACTCTTATATTTGTATACAGAAAAGTTAATAAACACAACTTAATCGGATTTAAAATGAAAGACATTGTCTAACATCTCTAAGTATTGTATAAACTGAAGTGCAAAGTTAAAATTATTTATTTGAAGTAAATAATAAGCTTTAGAACTTCAGAAAATTAAAATCCGAATTATCTTTGATATTAAATTTTTTTTCTTTTCCCAAAAACGATCGTTTCGTCAACAGAAGCAGAAAGTTTTATGAATAATTCAAATCGGATGCTTCGTTCTCTCAAAAACTGCCATTTTTTGTACATTTAGCTTCGTATCTCCAAAACGGCTAAACCTGCCTCTGCCAATAACTAATCATCACTTCTCCCTCTCATTACTAAATTAATGATTTTTAAATCATTCAAATCGTTCTCTCAGAAACTCGATTTAAATTATCTGCACTCTTTGCTTTGTATCTCCGAAATGGCTGGACCTGTATTTGCCAAAAAATAATCAGCACATCTCCCTATCAATAGCAATCGAATGTTTTTTTAAACCATTCAAATCTCAACCAATCCGCGCGCCCGAAAACGTGAACAAAAAATTGTAATTGTACACACAAACACGTATCCTTTTAATCCAAAGTATCCCAAAATGTTCAGAAATCCTAAATCGTGAAGAAATGCAGAAATTTTCATTTTCCATTTTTGGTCGATTACAATAACTTACCCCACGGTAGGTTAACTAGGTGTAAGAGGCATTTTACCTAAGGGCAAGATGCTAGAACCTCCCGGTATGTGTTAATAATCGGCTTGAGCAATAAGAATAAAGGTCAAGATTTAGCAACGTTTTAAATAGTGTCTATAAAATGTTCAACTCTTCGCTAAAAACTAATCAATTCTATAGGCATCCAATTGACATTTTTCAATGAAACTTATTATATATGTAATTGTATTTGATAAGTTTGATTAGTTTTTATTCTACGCAATGTCCTAAAAAGTAATTTATACAAGTGGAGTCAGTACAAAACACAGAACAGAATAATGCGCTTTAAAAGCACTGCCCAGTATTGAAAACCTTAATATTTTTTTTAAATTATACACATATTCATAACCCTATAATATTTTAAGATGAACTCTATCACTTTGCAAAGCTTTATTGAAATCGTCAATAAATCGAAGTCTAGCGGATCATTACCAAAAACTAGTCAATTTAATTCCCAAGTAATATTTTTAGACACGTTCTAGAGTTTACAAATTTAGTTCAAGATTTTTAGTGAAAACTTGGATAAATTTTTTTGCACTTATCTGCTAATTATAACGGTAATGCTCAACGTTTGTCCTTTAACTTTTTTAATCGGTAGGGGAGACACTTTTTTGATAATCCATAATTTTGTTAATTTATCAGTTAGCTGAGAGAAATGTAAATTAAATGGTGATTTGAACATTTTTTTACAACAACTTTAAATTCTGGCATTAAATACGATGGATTTGTCATAAAATCAAGTCATACAAGAAAAGGGCGAAAATAGCTGCGTAATAATTGGTTAAAGAACAATAGCTATAAACACAAAAATGGTTTATAACAATTTTTATTGTCGTTAATAACAATAATTAACAAACATTTAAACAAAGTTTTTGAATAAAATATAACAATATATAACAAAACATAATTTTTTAAACAAAGTTCACAAGAATTATTTCTAAAATCTTTTTTTCCTATATTTAATTTTTATTTTACTTTCTGTTTCGTATTTTGTCTTAGTTAAGATAGATTTTTTTATCTGTTTAACACAACCGTATCCAACGTACACTTTTGAAAACAAATCATCATTATGGTTGAACTAAATTAAATATCTAAGCAAAATCTAATTGCTGGTAAATAACTACTCATGTGCAACTTACAGCAAAATAACAATCAAAGTGATCTATCTGTACACAATTAACAGTTATTAGTAAAAAAATTCGAACATAAAAACTTTTTTCTGACTTTTTAAAAACAAGTCCAACCAATACTTGGGAACTTGTTCGAACAATTATACTTCATCTTGCTATATACTTATTTCGACTCTATATCAAAATAGGTACAGTTTAGCTCTTATAACCGTCACTACCGTGCCCTGGCACAACCGTACCCAGTCGGCCGCACAAAACGTCGACAAAGTGTCAACATTTGGTAATTAAATATTATGAAACGGATAAAGAATTATTACATACACTGCGTATTTTCTAAAAGCGCGGTGATTTAATCCAAATTTCAAGTAATTTTTATAATTAAACCAATTGTCATAGGCCTCAAGTATTTTAGTAAGTTCATTAAGACCAGAAGCCAAAATAAAATTCAATGATCAATTACCAAATGATATATTCCAAATAGTTTTTAAATTTAAAAAATTGGTACAGAATTTATTACAAAAGCGAGTGCTTATTGAGACACATCGAATGGCTTTTACATTTTTGAAATCGGTTTAGCCGTTTTTTAAAATACATCGGCGAAATGTCAAAATTCGGCTCACGTACCCACACATATATACTTTTTTCCGTATCTGGTCTCAAACGATTCTGAATGACTTGAAATGTCGAGAAAACAAAGTTAACAAGACGGAATTTCTGGCGAAAACACAAAATGTTCTTCTG